TTTCTTTGCCTGTAAACGCTCCGCTCTAAATGCCTGAAATTATCCGTGCTGCTGCCGCCGCCGCCGCCGCCGCTGCTACTACTACTGCCGCTACTGATACTACTGCTGCTGCTGCTGCTGCTGCTGCTGCTGCTTCTGCTTCTGCTGCTGCTGCTGCTACTGCTGCTGCTGCTGCTGCTGCTACTGCTGCTGCTGCTGCTGCTGCTACTGCTGCTGCTGCTGCTGCTGCTGCTGCTACTGCTGCTGCTGCTGCTGCTGCTGCTGCTACTGCTGCTGCTGCTGCTACTGCTGCTGCTGCTGCTACTGCTACTGCTGCTGCTGCTGCTACTGCTGCTACTGCTGCTACTGCTGCTGCTGCTGCTACTGCTGCTGCTGCTGCTGCTGCTACTGCTACTGCTGCTACTGCTGCTGCTGCTGCTACTGCTGCTGCTGCTGCTGCTACTGCTGCTGCTGCTGCTGCTGCTGCTGCTGCTACTGCTGCTGCTGCTACTGCTGCTGCTGCTGCTGCTACTGCTGCTGCTGCTGCTTCTGGAATGGACCAAAACTGACATCGTAATAAATACATGAATACATTAAAACATGTCCGCATTGGCAAACAACTATTTAGATATTACTACAATTCTTTCCCCACATGACCAGTCACATGACCAGTCACATGACCAGTCACATGACAAGTCACATGACCAGTCACATGACAAGTCACCCCAACACCTTCGTCCAGTTCTATTGTTTTCTGTTTTTAACCATGTTTGTACAGTGTCCTGGGTTTTTAAATAAAATGTATTATTATAATAATCATTATTATATTGGAGATTATATACGGCAAACATCGATCATTTAAAACAGAGGTGTCAAACTCATTTTGGTCTGGGACCAAGTTTAAAAACATAGGAGCTGGTTGGGGCCAGAAGTATAAAAGTAACTTTTATTATGAATTTTTCAAAAAAAATTGTATTTAGACAAATACATTTTTTCAACATGAGTTTGAATATTATTTTCTAGCACAACGAACAAACCTACGTAGGCACGGGGAGAACATGTAAACTCCCAGGACCTTCTTGCTGAGAAGCGAGAGTGCTAACCACTCAGCCACGTGCATCTTAAAACTGCTCAATTGCTTGTTTTTTTTTCATTATTATGTTTTTTTTTCATGATTAGACAGACAGGGACAACATACAATAAACATGAACCTTAACGAGAGAGTCCCATTTTCCCATGTTACAGCCCAAGTGTTTATTTCCACTTGTTTTACAGTCAAAATGGGCAATATTCATTCACTCCATGCACTGGTGGTGAACTGCAACTGTAGCCACAGCTGCCCTGGTGCAGACTGCAGTAAGCACGGCCTATAATCTGTGCCATCACCAACCATTGTTATAGTTTTGGTTCTTTTGAATTTAACTTAAGAAGACCACATTTACCAGCATCTGTCGCACTAGGCACTGTGGGTGAAGTGTCTTGCCTAAGGACACAATGACGGCTTTGGCGCCGTCCCACTGTATCGTCTGGTGTTCCCAAAGGTCTCCCATCCGAGTACTAACCAGGCCCTGTCCTGCTTTGCTCCTCACATCATTGTAAAAGAAGAGAAAAGCGCTGACGAGCCGCGATCTGAGGCTAATCGGTGATAGTTAATCATTGTTGCATCTGCGTCATGAGACTGGACAAAATTAGCTTCGGGGTAAAATTAGTGTGATTGTACAAAAGCGGTCGCGGCAAAAGTCAAGCGCCAAAATTAACGATGAGAGAAAGCAGTTTGGGGATTTCCAAAGCTCCAGATTCATTAGGTGCAGGGTTTGGCGCAGAGACGGTTCCACCAGGGACTTTCATCAGGCTTCACTTTTTGATTCCCTCTTGTATTTGACAAGTGCAATTCTGTTAATTGATTTTTGGGAAGAAAGGTTGGGATTGGAAACTGAAAGGATTTTGTGTTGTATGAATGTACTTTGGAAGAAGATAGAGAAAAATGGGAACTCACCAAAGTTTATATTTAAATTGTTCATAATGTTATAATACTAATAATAATAATACATTGGTTTTATTCTGCGCTTTTCAGGAAACTCAAAGACATTTCACGTAGCCACAGCTGCCCTGGGGCACACTGACAGAAGCGAGGCAATCAGTCTGTGCCACCTGCCTCTACGACCACCACCAACCATCACACACACACCAGACTCATTCTAGAGTGTCTTGCCTAAGGACACAACCACAGTTTGGCACTTTACAGCCGCAGCCGCCCCACTGTGGCACCTGCTGTTCCCAGAGGTCTCCCATCACAGCACTAACCAGGCCCTGCTTAGCTTTAGAGGTGTGACAGAATCTGGCTTCTGCCTACAGGTAAAACCATATTCTATAATGTTGTACTGATTAGGTTTATTTAATCATTAGTACTACTAGGACTTATTATTATTAGTATTATTAAGACTGACTCAGGCCAAAAGTGACTCAGAAATATCCGTCGATTGGAGCGAACCCTTTGGAGAAAAATGCATCTTCCATTTCTTCTGTATCGCCTGTGGCAAAGTTGCAGATGACTCATAATTTATATTTTTTTACACACACAGGTATTATATCTATTTTTAAAAGAGGAAATGTCAAAGTAAAGGGCAAAGATAAAGTTTAGAGACAGAATTAAACAGAATTATTCGTGCGTACCTCAAACTACACTGTGCACTTTTTAATACAACCGTAAAAAGGGATATAGCTCTATTTTCCCAAATTTTAGGAAAGAATATCTCTAGAATGATTGACAATTAGGACTTTTTCAACACATGCAAATATATACTATATACATATTTATGCGACCATGCAACAGTATTTGCACTTACTTCACCATAGTTTCAGTATACTTCAGGCATTCAGACCAAGGTTAATGTTAACTTAAAGGGTATAGGAGGGTTTTCTACTTCCAGGTGGATCATCAAGACTATTGGTCCTCCCAACTGTCAATCATTCTGGTGATTCGTGCTTGTCCAATAAGACCAGAGAGTTTTGTTCAAAAAGTGGAGAGGGCGGTTCTTTCCTGAAATTCGGGAAAAATCTCCTATATTCTTGGGTTTCATATGAAATGGCGCTAATGACATACGTGGGACAGGACCAGACAGGACCGGACAGGACCAGACAGGACCGGACCGGGCGTGATGTACCCTAACGGTGCAGTCTGCCGGGTTTATACACAGAGATATAGTAGAAGAAGAAGTGGTTTATACACGGAGATATAGTAGAAGAAGACAAGGTTTATACACGGAGATACAGTAGAAGAAGACGAGGTTTATACACGGAGATATAGTAGAAGAAGAAGTGGTTTATACACGGAGATATAGTAGAAGAAGAAGCATCTTTTTGTGCGGTGTACGCTTGTAGCAACCGCACAAAAAGAGAGAAAGACAGAGTTTGTTCATGTTCCAACTGTGTCTCATATAAAGGAGGACACTTTGAAAAAATCACTGGAATGAGGCGGAGGTGGATCAACGCTTTTTCCAGATAAGCGCCCCCTGCAGGCCACCCCAATGAAACGCAGACATTTCTTCTGTTTTTCTTTTGAGAAATATTTGTTAGTCCTCCCTTAGAATTGAGTGTCCCCAATTAAGACTGTTCCAACAACTGTACACCGCACAGGAGGAGAGCCTTTGACTCCAAAAACAGACTTCCCCATCTCTGCTCATGCGCCCCCTACTGGCCAGGTTCATGAAACACAAGAACACCTTTAACTTCAGCTTTACTGCAAATGTTTATGATCAGCCTTGAAAAAACAAATTACTCGACCTTCAACACAACCTGGTGATCCTTGTCTAAACTAAATATTCCATGTATTTATCATTTAGCTGCAGCAGAAAATAAAACACAAACGTTAATGAGTCTTTAGTTTGTCGTTTCCTGTTTTGCTCTGATTGCTGCTGATTATTGGAGAGGACGTCCAATCAGGAGAGTGACCGGGCCAAGCTCGTTTAGCAAAACACTGTCTATACTTAAACTCAGTGCGTTGATTTGAACAACACATTAGAATCATTCAAATACACAGACAGGTTTTCACTCCGATTACGCCCTTCACCTCAATTACCACGTGGCATGACACATTTAAGTGCAGAACTGAGGGTTTGTTTGATTTCTACTTTTCATTCACGTTTTAGTCCAACTGTCCAAAAGGAAACTGACCCTAGCACAGTCATTTCCAATTACTCAGTTGAAAATGCATGAATAAAGTAAGTAGTGAAGAAGATAAAGTAGCGTTTTTCACCCAGAGTGACTTGTTATTGTTTATTTTCTATATACTGGTATTTCTGGTCGACAAGCCTACATTTTTCACAGCAAAAACGTATAATAAATGAGGTAATAATGGCAAGACTCAAGTGGTTTTTATCTTAATCTGAGTATTTTCTGACTGTCTTATAACAAGATTTGCCAGTGGGACAAAACCCTTTAGTCTTATTTCAAGAATTGTTGCTTTATTTTCTCATTCTAAGGAAGACATTTCTTGTATCTTTCGAAAAATTTGATGATTTGTCCCATTGGCAAATCTTGCTTTAACGCAGTCAAAAAGTGCTCAAATTAAGCAATTTTCGACTCACTTTTTGCAGTGAGGGCGTCAACCGAGACAGACGGGACCATCGACAGAGACGAGGGGGCCTTCACCTCGGCTCACACCTCTGACGAAGGCGCTGATGTACCACCCAAACATGCGGTGATTTAAGTAAGTAACTTCTTTACACTTTTCTCTTAATTAAAGAACCTTCTAAGCCTTTTGTCAGGGCAGGTCCTACACAACACATCTGTAACCTACTTCTGGTCCCGCCGTAAATCCTCTTCCTCAGCTCGTGCTGGTCCCGGCGTCTCAGTCGGTTGTCAGGCGCTAATGGACAGCGTTTGATTTGAGTAACGCGCCCGCAGCACGTCCTGAGAGTGCGGAGACAGGCGGGTGGGGCCGGGGTCTTTTTTTTACTTAATTGAAGTGCTGAGCGGGCGTGTGTTTCTCCGCGTTGCATCATTTGTCTTCCTGTCAGCTGCTACATGAACCCCCCACACCCCCCCCATCCACATCTATGAATATTCATGAGGCCGCCGTCCATAAAGCGGCAGGCAGGTCGGGGGAAAACGGTCACAACAGACTGACGAGAGGTCCGACCGGGACAGCGGATCAAAGAGGAGTCGCTCTGAACCAAAGGGGAAAAGCTTTAATGTGGACTTTGAAACTGGGGTTTGGAAGTCCTGATTTTGAAATACACTGTCGGTGTGTGTGTGTATGTGTATGTGTATGTGTGTGTGTGTGTGTGTGTGTGTGTGTGTGTGTGTGTGTGTGTGTGTGTGTGTGTGTGTGTGTGTGTGTGTGTGTGTGTGTGTGTGTGTGTGTGTGTGTGTGTGTGTGTGTGTGTGTGTGTGTGTGTGTGTGTGTGTGTGTGTGTGTATTATAAAGAGACTATTCAATTCAATGTATTCTTGTAGAGCTCGGAAGACTTTACAAAACCGTTGAATTCGCAAACACAGATCAGAAAAAAAACATAGAGCCATTAGTCCATAAGTGGCAGAGAGCAAAGTTTATAAATGTTGAGTGTCCACTGCCCTTTTTGTTAGACCCTCACAAGAGTCCAACAGACCTTCTCTCATCGGCAAGTAATAACTCTAAAACCCAGTGGGAAAAGGTGAGGTCCTGTTTACTGCTGAATGAGCGGCGGCGTTGAAGTATGTTTATGTTTGAATGCTCCTTTGCTCTTCAGTTTCCCCTGACCCTGTTACATGTCATTTACAAATGTGCTTTAAAGTGGCATACATTAACATTATGTGATTATTGCCAAAGCAGAGAAACTCCTGACCCCCTACCACATATTGAGAAAAAACTCTAGAATTTATCATGCTAATTAGAGGTATATGTCATTACAGAGATAATTATGATCCAGGCCAGGTAACCTATTTGTCTTGATCTGTAAGTGATGAATGTCGAGCAGAGAGATCCATGTGCGCTCGTCTCACTCTGTATTTACTTCTGCAGTTTCTCTTTCTCTTCTGATAATGAGTGTAACCCAGGGTTAAATTTCAATCCATCTAATCCATCCCTGGTTTTCCCCTTCTCTAGCAATTAGCCAGAGCATAGCACCTGTCCCAGAACACACACACACACACCTGATTTCATAATCAGTACAGTTTAAAAGCTGCTATCACTTCTCACACTCGAGTGTGAGGAGTGAGGAGAAAGCAGCTGCTAGACTAAACATTTGTGTGTGTGACAGTAGTTTTCCGGTGTGTGCTCACGATAATCTGGACTGGCCAGGTTTCCCATTGCTGGGGACCTAATTGATGGCGAGCTAGAGAGCCTGGAACTGTCTTCCTGTGTGTTGGTCGACTCCTAGTGGGTGGGAGGCTAAGCAGCCTGTCTCCCTTCTTTCCCCTTTTCCCCTCCTTCCGTTGTGAGGATTGACACCACTCCACATATCCCGATACTCAATAAAATCGCGCTTGGACATAAACCACCTCAACCATAGCTTCCTAAGGACATTTGTGGTGCTCAAACCAAACTGTTATTGTCCATTACTGAACTTTTGGACTAACACCCTGGATTATTGAACTTTGATTTATTTCTTTTGCTTCTACCGGTATTCATTGTAAATATTTGTTCATTGGTTTCACTTTTGGTTGTATAATACACTTTACATCAACTTACCTTTTTGTACTGTCATTTACTGAGCCTATCCTCCAGCAGCCGACCCTAGACTCTTCTGATCAATAGCCCAATACTATTACACTTATCTAATTTATTACCTTTTAATAACAAAGCAGTTGTTACATAATTAGGCGAGCTAGCCAGGAGGATAGTGACACAGTAAATACTTTTCTTATACTCACCCAGTTCAAGTTATCTATAATGGAAGTTTTTGATAATCTCGGTATTATCATACCCCATGCGGTTATAGTCACTGGTGCGACTAACCAGTTATTACGCGATGAAGTAATTGCTTTTCTTAAGAAATGCGGTGACATTAATCAAGATGTCAGAATTGATAGTGTTGACTCAGATTTCCACGAACGCGTTGTTGTTGAGTTTACTACCGCGTCTGCGTTCACAAAGTTACCTTCGTTACCGTATACTTATTGTTCAGACTTAGGACATAAATGTTACGTTGCACGCTTGTCCGATGTTTACGCATCCAGAATTTGTGGTTTGAAGACAAACTCTTATCTAGCAGACCTCAAAGCGGTCGCAAAGAAGTCTGGGAAACAATACCCTGAGGTACTAAGAGATATGCTGGTCCAACTCAGTCAGTCCATTGCTGAACTCGAATCCCCTGATACACAAGCCAGTGCCTCAACCACTACATCGACTGCAGATGTTAATATAAAACTTTCTGAGAGTCCATCAGCAACAGCCCTTCCTTCCTCGTCTGCAGCTAACGCTTTTACAGAAGGAATCCAGGAGAGGCGGTCCACGATCCTCCAGCAGCCGACCCTAGACTCTTCTGATCAATAGCCCAATACTATTACACTTATCTAATTTATTACCTTTTTAATAACAAAGCAGTTGTTACATGAGGTTATGATGAATCGATGTTTAATGAACTGTGTTGAGAGTTAGAAATGAGCTGAAATGGATACGTTAGCATACATTATGGATACATTACACTTGAGAAGGAGAAGCAGAGATGGATGAAGAGCAATGCTTTCCAAACCGGGGAATATGTCAAAACTGTCACTTTGTTGCTATTGCTAGTAACGTTTAAGATTAGGGAGACTTCTTTGAGCCAGAAGGTCGTGGGTTCGAGCCCACCACAAGATTTTCTCCACTGACTCCCACTGATGTCGTTGTGTCCTTGGGCAAGACACTTAACCTCTGGGAACACCAGCCACAGTGGGGCGGCTGCGGCTGTAAAGTGTCAAACTGCTGTTGTGTCCTTAGGCAAGACACTTTATTGTCTAGAATGAGTCTGGTGAGTGGTTGGTGGTGGTGGGAGGGGCCGATGGCACAGACTGGTTGCCTCGCTTCTGTCAGTGTGCCCCAGGGCAGCTGTGGCTACAGTAGTTTATCACCACCGTGTTTGGAGAGAGAGACATGTAAAGCGTCTTTGAGTGTCATTATTATTATTATGTATTTGTTTAGGTGGATGGATGGATCTTTCCTTCCTTCCTCCATGCTGGTCCTTTACTATCTTTCACATCCTCTCAGCAACACAAAAACCAGAGATATTTTGAGAACTTCTGAACCAAAAGCCAATTAGGCACTGATGCTTTGATTGGTCGACTATAACGTTACATTTTCAATAATCCTGCTCCTTTTGTCATATTGTCTACAACCAAAAATGGCTAACAACGTAACTGCCTGGTACAGGAGGAGGTGTGTCCCATAGACGCTGGTGTGGAAGCAGCTGAGGTTGCCAGCATATAGAGGTAGGACCTGGAGCTGCCTTTGGATGCAGTTTAAAGTCATACCCAGGGCTACTATTTAGCCATAGTTGGCTCTGTAACAGGTGCTATCGCCACGGGCCATGACGAGCCTGGAGGAGATGGAGATTAAGGGGTAGCTTTACTTCCTCCAGAATCTCCACATCCCCACGTAGAAACCACCACCACCGGATGCAGTTTAAAGTCATATCCAGGACAAGTGTAGTGAATTATAGGCAACACACACACCCTCCGCCCTTTCTACATTAGTTTCTAGTCAAAGAGAAGAAGAAAGTCCTTTATTTGTCTCACATTGTGGATATTTCAGTTTGATGCATACACAAACACATACAAGCACGAACATCACTTCCGCGCTCCTTATTGGCAAAGTGGGTTAAGTGTCTTGCCCAAGGACACAACAACAGCAGACATCAGTGGGAGTCAGTGGAGAAGGTCTTGTGGTGGGCTCGAACCCACGACCTTGCTCTACAACTGAGCCACTGTCGGCCAAAGAGAAGTGATGTGTTGGTGAAATGAGTAAATGTAACTGGTACTGGCCTCTGCTAAAGCTGATAACACAGTGTCCCTCGTGATTCTAAAAGCTCCATGCGCCTCTGACTCGGAGGCTGGTCTTCAGACTCCAGTGGGCTAATTGGACTGCAAATCTACCGGGATTTATTCAGTGACAGTCACAGGCTCAGTGGGGAACTGGGATAAAACTAAAACAACAAAAACAGAGAGGATTGGGGAGAAAAAAAAAAAAGATATGGATGGATTAGGTCAAATTAATGAGGTCATAACAAAATGAGTAAAAATGAAAAAATTGTGCGTGTTAGAGATAATTGTTGATTTAAATCCATACATGCTAATATTGGCCCAAATTGACTTAACCATCACACGTCTGTAGTTATGCTTTTACAAATCCTCAGACCACGACGTCATGGACCACCACAATGTACTACTTTTAGAAAACAATATTTTGTGAATGTTGCCATACCAATTGTGTTCTTTCCTTCATTTACCCTGCATCATGTTTGATTTCAATCTAATTCTTGCAGATATAAATATCCGAATGTCTAAAACTAAATTTTAGCATTGGGCTTTCTCAACATTGCCCATTAAAGATATGAAATGCCAATCCAAATACATATGATCAGGATTATTTTGCAGTAGTTTAAAGGGGAACTTTACCTCTTTCTCTATAACGAGAATCTATGACCCCTGTGACTATTGATTAAATATTCGGTTCATATGACATCTTTAGATTGAACTTAAACTGTCATAGAAGAAACAAGTCGTGTAGCTCCTCCTTCAGTCTCCTTTCACCGTTTCTTTGACGAAGCATCAGAGAAATGCAAATGTTTTCCGCTGCTCCTACACAAAGTTTCCATGTCCAGATGTTTTCATTATATTTTCTTTTCTTGGAGTAAAACTGACCACAACAGACATAACTGATCCTCCACATATCGTGGATTCAGAAAATAGATTTGCCAAAAGACAGTAAGTTTAACTCGGGGGACGTTTAAGGTGCTGGTAGGGAAAAGGACTGGCGGGAGAGCGATGGTGGCGCGCATACAGTATGTAAAGATGTAATTAACTTGGACAGGGAAAAAAATATAACATCTCTGACAGCTGTGGAAAGTTGAATTTGGATGTCCTCTTTATTACTTGAATGTAATTTATCGCAACAAAAGGACAAAGGTGTTAAACTGAGTGGATGTTATTCTGTGACACATTCATTCCAACCCGTCCTCCGGCTCAATTAAACCGTCACCAAAGAATGTTTTAAAGTCAGGTGAATGCAACCTGCAGAGAGAAATTAGAATGAAAGGGATACAGTGTGACCGCGAGAAGCGAGAATCCAGATGAAAAGCTCATTAGTGTCCAAACATGTCGCCTGCGCAAAGTCACACTCACTTTCCACATGTGAGAAAGAGAATTTAGTGAAGAAATTGGACCAGAGGATTCAGAACAAGCTAAAAACAAGGACATTTTCAACGCCTGTGTTTGCCGGGCATAGTTTTAGTTACTTAGGCTCAGGATGTATGAATTTAGAAAGACAATATCGAGATACAGGATCAAACCACAGATGTTCTTCTTGCAAGAGGAGTTTGCTCTTCAATGTTAGTCAATTGGAAAACTAGCAAAACATCAGTCTACGTTGAGAATGTGGGTTAGCTCTGTCCGTCTTTATACAGTCTATGGATCTAACATTTTAATTCCATGATCCGATACTTGTCTGAACGGTCTGGAGGTGAGAATGTGGATGATTGAGTTTCAGTAGTCCACCATCACCCTGGGAGGAAACGGTTCATGAGGTACAGATAATATCAATTAATCAACCTATTATTTGTAGAGCACTTTTCCTTCACATTTGGCATTAAAATCACACAGGTGATTAAAAAACAACCACTAAGACCATGCAAGGAAAATAACCACAGTGCATTAAACAGTAAAGATACAGAACTGTCTTGTCGGAGTAGGAGGCTGTCGCACATTTCCAGAAAGACGTAAAATGTTCCATCTGGAGAGACTACACAGACACAACATTTCATTAAGAGTTTATCCATTAGTCTGTTTGGCACCTTAGGCCACGGCAGCGGCACTTTGTGGTGACAGTTCCTTGTTATCCCCCGGGACCTGGGTACTGGTGGTAGCATGAGGTCCAGGTACTGAAGGCGTGAGGTCTAGGTACTGGTGGTAGCATGAGGTCCAGGTACTGAAGGCGTGAGGTCTAGGTACTGGTGGTAGCATGAGGTCCAGGTACTGAAGGCGTGAGGTCTAGGTACTGGTGGTAGCATGAGGTCCAGGTACTGAAGGCGTGAGGTCTAGGTACTGGTGGTAGCATGAGGTCCAGGTACTGAAGGCGTGAGGTCTAGGTACTGGTGGTAGCATGAGGTCCAGGTACTGAAGGCGTGAGGTCTAGGTACTGGTGGTAGCATGAGGTCCAGGTACTGAAGGCGTGAGGTCCAGGTACTGGTGGTAGCATGAGGTCCAGGTACTGAAGGTGTGAGGTCTAGGTACTGGTGGTAGCATGAGGTCCAGGTACTGAAGGCGTGAGGTCCAGGTACTGGTGGTAGCATGAGGTCCAGGTACTGAAGGTGTGAGGTCTAGGTACTGGTGGTAGCATGAGGTCCAGGTACTGAAGGCGTGAGGTCTAGGTACTGGTGGTAGCATGAGGTCCAGGTACTGAAGGCGTGAGGTCTAGGTACTGGTGGTAGCATGAGGTCCAGGTACTGAAGGCGTGAGGTCCAGGTACTGGTGGTAGCATTAGGGTGAGATGAGAGCGTTGATAGAAGGTCGAGGAGAAGGCGGGAGGTGGTGGTTGCGAGGTGTGAGTAGACAAAAAGTGACCAGAACAAATCCTTGCGACGCTTTGGGAAAAGGGATTAGATGTTGGAAGTTTCTACTTTTTAACCGGCGGCTTAATTGGCGTAGGTTGGCAGCGCTGTGTGATTGGCCGAGGGTGAAGGCTTTGATGGGCCGCAGCAGGTAGACAACCAGATTGAATCTCCGCAGGCTTCCTTTTTAACTCAAGGTCGCCTTACATCCATACATTTTCTTCCCCTTAATCCATTTCTGGGTCGGGGGGTGGCAGTCAGAGTCGCCTTGAATCCGGTCGCTATAAAGAGAGACAGAAATACTAATTTCTAAGCCACTTCTTTTTTTTGTTATCAAATTTTTATTGAAGAATTTTCAAATTACATTCAAACAACAACATTGATGTACAAAATTCTTTTTTGTTTTAAACCTCCCTCCCTCCCCCCCCCCTCCCTCCCCCCTCACCCCTCACCCCTCTCCCCCCCCCCTCCCTCCCCATCCACCCACCCACCACCACCACCTCGATGCTCTATCTCTCAGTTCACAGTGCCCAGAATACACTTTAGATCTTCCGAAAGCTGGGCCCAAGTTGCAAGAGTCCGTTGAGATGCCCCGTTGATTCGGGCAGATGATAGTTCCATATATGCAATGTCCAAAAAGCTGTGTAGCCAGTGGTTATATGACAAGTCGTTGGGTGGTTTCCATCTTTGTGCTATGAGTTTTTTGATTGCTGTAAGGCCTGCTAGCCATATTTTCCTTGTTTCTAAGCCACTTCTTGAGTCAAATCGTTAAAGTTTGTAGCCTATTCTCTCCCCACTTCAACCACCTCTGACTGTATCCATCTATGACATGCACTAAACTTTAACTTTGCCTCAGGTGAATGGACCCAATCACTGCACAGTAAAAGTTAATTCACGAGTTGCGTAAAGAACCTAATAATTCTGCACAGTGTATTTAAGAAAAAGCCATCAATTTGCAGCAGAGTTAATCAGGAGGTGTGGAGGTGTTTACGACATATTCTTACATTTCCTGTGGATTTACCGCCGTCATTTGAGGCCCGCTATAATGACCTGCCCTAAATCTGCAGACTACACTTGCAGAGGGAGGAGTAATGGACGCGAACAGCCACGGTAAATACACGTTTAATTATCCACGAGTCGATAGAACCGGTGCAGACGTGGATGTAAGCGTGTCGTAAAGTGTGTGTGCAGTGGCGCAAGTGAAGAGCAGAGAGAGGCCAAACACACGTAAATCGCAAACATGTTTTCATAACCAGGAAACGAGGAATGGGAAAACTCAGGCCTTTAGAAATGACATGAATGAAATCAGGTCAAGCTGCTAATATGTACAGATGTATAAAAATAATAATAATAGATAGTTTTTTACAGCAATTTGGACACTCTGAGACATGTCGATATTTTTTCACTCCATACACAGTTGTGATAAACTACCACAGTAGCCATAGCCGCCCTGGGGCACACTGACAGAAGCGAGGCAACCAGTCTGTGCCTTCTCCAAGAGTCTTGCCTAAGGACACCACCCCAGTTTGGCACTTTACAGCCGCAGCCGCCCCACTGTGGCACCTGCTGTTCCCAGAGGTCTCCCATCACAGCACTAACTAGGCCCTGCCCTGCTTAGCTTAAGAGATAATGGGATCTGGCTTTCTCATGCAGGTATGACCACAAAATATATACAACTATATACTTCTTGCACCAGAACAGACCATGTTTTCTACTTGCTTTTTTGTTGTATCACTAAAGCCAGAGGTTAAATGTTCTTTTCGTGATAAGTTATTGTTAAATTTCTCTGCCGTGGGTGGCACGGTGGCTGAGTGGATAGCACTCTCGCCTCTCAGCAAGAAGGTCCTGGGTTCGAATCCCGGTCGGAC